GGAGGGCAGGCCCCTTGTAGTACAGGCTTCTCCCACTAGGTGAGTGTTCTGGGAACCCATTTGTACCAGTGTTTCAGCTGGGATTGTCATGAGAGGCTTTGTTCAACTTCAGTGAATGTTTTTTAAAGACTCAACACATTTGTCCACTTCATAATGGGTGGTTTATGAGCACACCTGCCCACACTGTGCTGAGTGTTGAGCAATTTTTTACCAAAAACGGCATGGCTTCAATGCATCAGAATTTTTTATTATTATTGGATGAGATTCTTAATATACAGATGTCTCTCTTCACTTCCATACCTATTATAGATGAGTTTTAACTTTAACTTCTTCACTCAATAGCATCAGTGGAGAGCTCTTTTCTTACCATTTTCATTTCTTGACTTATTGTAATATAATATCAAGAGAATAGGTAGATAAAGGGATATGCATGAGTAGAGACATAATTATTTCTACAAGATGGTTATATTTGTGTTTTTTTGTGTGTGCAGGGTTGGGGATATTGAGGAATGGTAAAACAGATGAGACTAAAAAATTGAGGTCTACATTGATGTACCTGATGAAGAGCTTAGAAGAAGGGGATGGGAGGTTGTAAAGAGCTGTTGAGTTAAAAACTTTGGAATAACTATAGTGGATGTAAGATTTCAAAATAAAAGAAGGGAATGTTGAGGTGTGACCTGGAATAGAGTCTTCTAAAATTATAAGCTAGGAATTTCTGATAAAATTCTATCTGGTTGTTGGACTTTCTCCAAAAAATGGAGTTTCATTTTATATTATATTGAATCAATTATTACTGAACCAAAGTTCCTAAACTTCCACTTATTCCTCCTAGTATTTCTGTTTGGTACTATTCATCCAACATTTAACAAGTAAATATTGAGTAACTGCTCATGCCAAGGGTTATTCTTAGCACTGCATAATCAAGACAAGCAAAGTCCTTGCCCCGGTGGACTATGTTTTAAAATCATCATAATAAAAACCATGACTGTGGGAATGGGGGTCAGGTGTGGCGGGGGGGGGGAGCAACAAGGGAAAATTGGGACAACTGTAATAGAACAATAATAAAAAATAAAAAACAATACAAAAAACAAGTTGTAACACAAACAAGCAAACAAAATGAAATTGCATAAATGTTGTGATATCCTTGTAGAAGATGAGGGAGATGGAAGTGGAAGGCGGTGAGGAGTCTGAATCTCTCTTTGTTACCTCTTTTATATTCTGGATTTAATCAGATACAGCTCACTTTAAAAATAATTCAGTAGCTAGGCTGCTTTCTTTCCATGTTCCAGATTATCCATAATCTTCTGAAAATGTTTTGCCTTGACCTGACAGTGCTTCAGCTATAGTTCTGAATATGGTAAGACTACAATTTCCCGTATTCTGGATGAAATGCTTAGTACAGTATATAGTATAAGGGCATCACACAATGAACTGTTAATTAATTTACTCTGAACTATAACATTTTAATCTATTACTCATGTTTTTAATTAAATGATATAAAATTAATTTTATTCAACTGCAATATTTATTCCTATGGAAGTTCATCTGATGAATTTGACCCATTGCTACAGTCTATTGATAATACTTTAAGTTTCTGTGTGGTGTGTTAACTGCTTTTGTTTTTTTACTACCTCATAGAAAAATTTGATAAGCATTTCCTTTATATATTTATTCAAATCATTCATATAAATATTGATAAGAATAGATATCATGTCATCGGAGATGTCCTTTCAGGTTGGCATCATTTGATGAACCTTTACTCTTTTCCACGTGAAGACTCCACATCTCTGAACTCCACCTAATCATACTGCCTTTTTATAAGTAGTGAAACCATTTATTAAATATTGCTGACATGCAGGTTTCTCATATCAACAAGATTTATACCAGAATTAACTTTGTTAAGATTGAAATTATTAGTTTGTTGTCACTTTATACTGGTCCTTACTGATTATCCCTTTTCTCAGTGCTACAAAACATCCTTAAAATATTTTCTTAAGTCATTAAATACCAGTGTTTAAGGTAATTTAGTTAATAGAATATACTTTCTGTTATTAAAACAAGATATTTATTTGATTATTCCAAGGCTTCTGATAACTGTTTTTTCTCTGTTACTTCAAAGTTCAATCAGTGAGTGGGCACAGACTCCCTTCTTCTTCTTGCAGTACCTATGAAAGAGTAGGACATTTTCTGTACCTTGACAACTTGTGTAAGCCTGAGTTCATTCTGGGCTTTAGAGTCTCCCTATGAATTTGTTTCACTGTCACATATACACCCTTTGTTACGAATTCTTCTTTTATAAAGCCAGGGAAAGGAAAATGATTTCAAGTGATGACAAAGGATGCCATATGAATACATGAAGAAGGATAAATTGGAGAGCTAAAAAACTCTTTTGCTGAAAGTAATTATTTATTTAATGAGGGGACTTTTAAATCTTATGGTTCTGTAAATGACTAACAATATTTATGTTAGAGAGTGGATACTCAGATTTGACAGACAGATGTATACTTTTAACTTTAATTTTTTATTCTATTAAGGGAAGGTAAAGGTATAAGTACTAGTAGAAATGGAGTTGTTGAATATATCCTTATATTCCACTTTTATTATTTTCTCATGTGTCAGATATAAGTGTGAGATCTAGAAGAAGAGAGGATCCATTTCTATGGTTGAAATAGAATTTGAGGTGATTTTAATATATGATAAATTATATTGTTAGGAGGGAGAGACAAAAAGATTACTAAAATACAGAAAAATTCTAGAAGTAAGAAGCTACAAGATGATGGCATAAAAAGTTAAAATGATGTAATTTGGGGAGGATTGATGGTCAAATTTGAGGTTTAACAAGCATTTGAAATTGATTGTTACAGATTTGGTTGCAAAGCAATTGTCTACATTTTAATAATGTTTTGTTTAGTTTCTATTAAAGAATTAAACCCACATTAAAGTAGAAGTAACATTACTTAGTCATATTTTGATAATGTGTTGATACTGTATCATATTAAAATTATTCTTGGCAACCATAAGAAAAATTTCTAACTCTAAGAAGAATATCTGAGCTCAAAAATGCCTATTTATTTTTTTCTAACAAAAGTATACTTTTTTAATGTAAATACTGAAAAAATATTGTCCCAAGAAATTGTGTTGTATAAGATCAGTAAATGATTTTTTAGTGAAGAACAAAAACTTCAGTTTACTCCAAGACTATAAGTTAGTACCTGTCATGAGCATTCAAAAAGTCTGTATAGAGACAAATCATTTTTAGTAGAGACATTACTTATAATATTTAAAAGATAAAAAGAAACCTAAGGATATTTAATTAAATATATCTCTATTATATGGTATAGAGGTTTTGGCAGAAGATTTTAAATACAGGGGCCAGGACACATATCCAAATGTCTCTGCTAAATTACAGAATAAAGGATGTTTGTATAAGTGGACAGGTCAAGGTAGGGGAAATGTGACAATGAGTTCCCTATTTCAAAATTCTGTCAGCTATCACATATTAGAGAGTTGATGTGAACTTCCTGTCAATGGATGAAAGTGGTGCTGATCAGAAAAATTAGAAGTAAGCAGTAATAAGTTTGAAGGAAAAGTATTGTCTTCAGTATACGATGTCTGCAACATTTTCCAGGGTCACGAGCATAGCTCATGGTTGTCACAATATTACATAAGTGAGTATATGTACAGCACTTTAACACAATGCAAATGATAAGTACTCTACATGTTTTCCAGAAACAAATATACAAAAACAAACATTTCAGAAAGGAGATCCATCTGAAGACAATTTATTTTGAGTTTTTAGAATTAAGACCAGTGGTTCCTGTCAAGGAAAGCATGATATTTTGGGAAGGTTTTTCAGAATACAAATGTATATCCTCACAAAAGATTCTCATATTTTTTTCTGTGGCAGACTATAGTTGCTTGCCTACCAATATCTGTCTTTTTCTTCTTTTGGGAAAAGAGATCCCCAATTTTACTCCAGACAGCCAAGTACCTAGAAAAAAGGTCATATTTCTTATCCTTTCCTTTGTAGCTATGGGTGGCCAATGAGATATAAACCAAAGTTGTTTGGAAGGACCTCTGGGAGTTTCTTAAGAACACACAGCCTGCCTTTTATCATTTTACCCTTTCCACCATGTTGCTAACTGAGATGCACACATTGTGTTTGGCACTCTAGTAGCTATCTTGACTAATAGTCAACATTGAGTAGAGCAGTCATGTAGATGCAATAAGATAGAGCTGATAAATTTTGAAAGAACCTGGGTTCCTGATGGATCCTCTGAATCACTCCTGGATGAACTGTGAAGAGAAAAACAGTAACTCAGCATTAGTTATTAAACATTTCCAACCACATTACAGACATTGTCCAGTTTACATCTGAGGGTGGCCCCATTCTTTGCAGAGCTCCTTTCAACATTGTATTTGTAATTCCTTCCACACATATCTAATACAGTTGTATTTTTAAGACTTGTGATTATTCTAGTCCAATTTCTCTTTTTTCATATGTTCCTGCCTTTTAGTGTTCTGTGAAATAATTCTGCCTCTCCTTTCTTACTCTGAGTCTTTTTTTAGGCTTTCTGGGCAACGCTAAACATTAGCACTTCTCTGTATATACCTTATTTCTCTCCTCCACTTATTCCTTTAGTCATGGCATCTTTCTGAAAGGCTCCCTTTTTGCATCATGCAAAGTATATCCTCAACTCTTAATAGGAAAAGCAATTTATCAAAATCACACTCAATGGAGTTATTTTTATTTTCCAAACCCTGGTCTGTCTCACAGGTTTTGGTTGTTTTAAAATAAAAATCAGTGGTGATAAATACATGTGAGAATTCTTTGAGAACTCTGAAATATATATATAATCATATCATATATATTATCACATATATTATCACATATATTACATATATATACATGTGTATATACATATGTATACATATCACATATATTATCATATCATATATATATATGATTATCATTGGTATCATTGCTTTTGTTTCCACAGAGTATATGTTTTCCTGCTGCTTTAGAATATTCTAGTAAATGGAAAAAACAGGTTTTCTCTCCTTCATATGAATTAAAAACAAAAGATATTGGCAAAAAACAAAGAGATCTCATTCAAAAAGGTTTGTTATATGAATTTTTAAGTTATATTTGAACTGGATTTGAAGAAGAGTAAATTCTTTAGAAATTGGGCATGTTAATTTTGAACTATAAATATAAGATTCCATGAAGTATTTGCTGATCATTTGTTGATAAAATATTCATATCTCACTTAACATTTTATAAATATACAGATACAGAAAGTTATAAATCACCCTAGTACACATTCTTACATGCTTCTTCCTTTATTATTCTAATAGAGTTATCACTGTTTGGGGGTTAACTTGATGAGGACCCTGGCTCGTGGGGTCTGCCACATTGTGGGTGAGATATGAGAAATTCACACGGACTACCGAGTCCTGTGGAGGAAAAGGGATGGCATGGCTTTTCTCTCAAGAGGAGAAAAAAGCCTGGGCCCTTGCCTTGACAGGCCTTTATTTCTTTTCTGGGCACATTACATGATGGTCCTCATTTACTATAAACGGGTTCGCTTTAGGTGGTGACCTTTTACAGAAAACAAAGGAGATGATGCCACTAATCACATCACAGAAGAAGGGTATTTACAAATGCAAAGGGAAAAGTGGTTGAACCGGTTACACTCATCCTTGGAAGGTTAGCATGGATTTTAGGAAGTTACTTTAAAGATATGCAGTAAATGTTTGCTGCCTCAATTCAGGGTGGGGGAGTTTTAGCAAAAGCAAGTCTCAAAGCAGCCTAAGTACATTGCAGGCCTGATTCCCCACCGGAGAACCTATTCGTGGGCATGGGTCCTGTCTGGGCCCACACCACACAGAACGGTCTCCTATATTAACTAATATTTAATGATTTAATATTTATGACTATGTAAACACTATTCATAACTGAACCACAGAATATATTAGCTTCCTAATACTAGTTCTTTTTAAAAACTTGCATGAAAATCTCATAGTACTCAACCACTACTCTCCCCAAGGGCATTATATATATTTTTGTTTTCAAGCCATTTTTACTTGTGATTTTCATTTTGCTGAATTCTTCAGGAGTGCTTACTATCTAAACCTGATCTTAGTGGCTATTGTTTCTTCAACTTTGATCTCAACAATTTGTCTCTATACTTTATTGGGCACCCTTATTTCCAGGATGCTGTATCTTGTTCTTTCTTGTTTTATTATTTTAATGCATTATCTTGCTGATGAGTTTACTGAGAAATTATAAACAGGAGGTAATTTTTTTTAAACCTTTAAGCCTAAAGAGGTCTTTATTCTACATTTATATTTGGTTGATGATTTGACTGTGTAGAACTTCTTTCAGAAAAATTTTTAATTGCTTTATTGTCTTCTAGCTTCCAGTGTTACCTCTGAGATGTATATTGCTATTTAATTCTTAGTTTGCTGTATATAAACATCTGTTTATAGTTTTTCTCTTCTGCTTGGAAACTTTTAGCATTTTCTCTTTATAACAGCTGTGTTGCAAATTCACAGTGATTTGTCTCATAGATATTTGTGTGTTAGCTAAGGTGAATTTTCTTTCTACTTAATTTATCGTGGCTTTTCAATAAAAAAATATTCCTTGGTTCTAGGTATTTATCTTGTATTATTTTAATGGTAAAATGTTATATAACACAAAATTTAGCATTTTAACAGTTTTTCACTTTAACATTAAGTACATTCATATTGTTGCATAACCATCTCTTTTTTCCCCCCTTGGCCTTTGTAGGCAAGTTTGTTGATCTTGCTTATTTTTTTTGAAGAAACAAATTTTGTTTTCATTGATTTTCTTTCTTGTTTTTATAACTCTATCTTGTTGATCTCTCCTCTAATATTTATTTTTCCTTTCCTCTGCTAGCTTTGAGTTGAATTTTATTTTCCTATAATTCCAGATGCTATAAAGTTAGGTAGTTAGAGATCTTATTTCTTTCATAATGTAATCATTTATAGCCATACACTTGCCTCTTAGCACTGAATTTTCTATACCCATAGTATTAGGATATTGTATTTTCATTTTTATTTTTCTCAGATATTTTATAATTTTCATTGTGACCTATTATTTGATTCATTGTTTGTTTAAGAGTGTGCCATTTAATTCCCACATATTTGTAAATTTTCTAATTTTTCTTATTCATTTCTTTGTGATGGGTAAATATACTTGGTATGATATCAGTATTTTAAAATATATTTAGATTTGTTTTATAAACATACTGCATGTCCTGGATAATGTTACATGTGTACTCGAGAAAAATGAATGTCCTCCTGTTTTATATATGCTTGTTTGGTCCAGTTGCCCTATAGTGCTCTTCAAGTCTATGTTTATTTACAGATCTCCTCTCTGGTTGTTTTAACCTATATTAAAAGGGAGGCATTGAAGCCTCCCACTATTATTGTAGAGATGTTTTGTTTCTGCCTTCAGTTCTGTAAAGGTTTATACCATATATTTTGTACCTCTGAGGTTTGGTACATGTGTGTTTATAATTATTATATATTTTGGTGAATTGACCATTATATTATTTAATGTTCTTATTTGCCTTTCTTACTCAGGGTCTACTGATTTAAGTGTTAATCTCATTTAAAATATATGTTCACAGAAACATCTATAGAGTAGTGCATGAAGACCTAACCAAAGTACCACACAAAATTAACTGTCATAGTTTTACCAAATATAGAATTCTCAGTTGACAGTTTCTTTTTTAAATAGCAGCACTTTAAATACATCATCCCACTGCCTTTCAACCTGCAAAGTTTCCACTGATATAGCTGCTCATTGTCATTTTAAAAATCACTTGTGTATGATATGTCACTTTTCTGTTATGGCTTTCAAGCTTCTTTTTAGGTCCTCCACTCAACATGCAGGCATAGGTAGACATGCTCCTTGCATGACCACAAGCATTACAACTAACCTCAAAACAAAAAACACCCAGAACTGCCAGAAATAGAACTGCATGGAAGTCTGATAACCACAGATTTAAAGAAGCCATATTCATCCAGACAGTTAGGTGGAGTAGAGTCATGGAGTTGGGGTGTTGAGGATGTGGTGTGGCATGGAGAGGTAGTGGCAGATCAGGTGGTCGCACATTCATGTGTGGTGGATAAAAGTTGGGAGGGATACCGTGGGAGTGAGCTATCCCAGCCCCAGATTAGACTGCACAGCCCAGGGTTCCAGCACCAGGAAGATAAAACCCCATAACTTCTGGATGTAAAAACCAGTGGGGGTTGGGGCTGCAGAAGGAACTACCAGTGTCTCAGGAGAGTCAGTTTAAAGGGCCCACATGGACTTAGAACATACCCACTCATCCACTCCGGGAATCACCACCAGGGCAACAACTAGAAGGGTGCCAGTGGCACGTGGGAAGTAGGTGAAGTGTCTAGAAAGAGGGCAAGTGCCAGACAAGGCTCTGGAAGCCATGCATTGTCATTGTCCCCTCTCTGAGCCCTTCCCCCACACAGAGCCACAAAGCAGTTAAGTGGGTTGCCCCGCTCTGGCTAATACCTAAGGCTCCACTCCATTCAACTTAACAGGTGCACTAAGACAGGCAAAGCTGCTCTAACACAAAGGAGCAAACAAAAGAAGGCTACCAAATTGAAGAGACAAAGAAATATGGCCTAAATGACAAGACAGAGCAAAATCCCAGAAAAAGAACCAAATGAAACAGAGATAGCCAACCTATCAGATGCAGAGTTAAGAACACTGATGATCAGGATGCTCAAAGAACTCATTGAGTACAGAAACAATATAAGGGAAGAAATGAAGGTTATATGAGGTAAAATAAAGAAAAATTCACAGGCAACCAAATGGGAAAGGAAGGAAGGTGGGATTCAAATCAACCATTTGGAACAGAAGGAAGGAATAAACAGTTATTCAGAACAAAAAGAAGAAACAAGAATTCATAAAAATGGGGAGAGCATCAGAGTTTTGGACATCTCCAAAAGTGCCAAATCTGAATCATAGGGATTCCAGAGGAGAAGGGAAAAACAAGAAATTGAAAAATTTTTGAAAAATAATGAAAGAAAACTTCCCTAATTTGGTGAACAAATAGATATGCAAATCCAGGAATCAGTGAGAGTCCCAAACAAGTTGGACCCAAAGAGGACCACACCAAGACACATCATAATTAAAACGCCAAAGGTTAAAGATAGAGAATCTTAAAAACAAAAAGAGAAAAACATTGTTACCCACAAAGGAGTTCCTGTAAGACTGTCAGCTGATTTCTCAACAGAAACTATGCAGGCAAGAAGAGACTGGCAAGAGGTATTGAAAGTGATGAAAAGCAAGACCTACAACTTAGGTTACAATATTCAGAAAAGTTGTCATTTAGAATTAAAGGGAAGATACTGTATTTTTTGGACCATAAGACACACCTAGGTTTTAGAGGAGGAAAATAGGAAAAAAAATTTTCTCCCATCAATAAATGAATGGATCAAAAAACTATGATACATTTACACAATGGAATTCTATGCAGCAGAAAGAAAGAAGGAGCTCCTACCCTTTGCAACAGCATGGATGGAGCTGGAAAGCATTATGCTAGGCAAAATAAGCCAGGCAGTGAAAGACAAATACCATATGATCTCACTTTTAACAGGAACCTAATCAACAAAACAAACAAACAAGCAAAATATAACCAAAGACACTTGAAATAGAGGACAGGCTGACAGTGACCAGAGAGGTGAGGGGAGGGAATTTCAGGGGAAAAGGGGAAGAGTTTTCAGGAACAAGTATAAAGGACACATGGACAAAAACAAGGGGGGGGGGGGTGGAAATGGAGGGAGGTGGAGAGAGTTGGGGGGGTGGGCTGAGATGAGAGTAAAAGGCAGAGAAATAAAGAAAGAACAAGAAGAAAAAAATAAAAAAATAAATATAGGTATTATATCTTTCTGTTTAAGATTATTTTAATCCATTTTACCAAATTGTACATGTCAGCATGTACTCAAAGTCTTATAGCATGAGAAATACCTTTTCTTCTTAACAGTGTTTCTCCTTCCTTTAATATGAAGTTTTTCCTTTCAGAATGACTGGCATTATTTTTTTCTCTGACCATACTCAAATATGAGCT